ATGATATGGCACTCATTATTAAATGTTTGGTTTTGCTTGACAGCAGGAGTGATAATCTTACCGCACAAACATCTATGTTACACGCACTGATAACCCTATGAATTTTAGATTGCTGGGGACAGAAATGTTCTGTATCAATTAATTCTCTGTCCCCGGTGTTCCATTTAAATGTTTATCCAGAAAATCTGTGAATTTAATGCCAAGTAACTCAGTCCCTTTCTTGGATGGGTGCAAACCATTTCTTGCTATTATACTTGCTATTTGAGAAGGAGACTCCTGCTCTTTTCCACTGCCATTATTCAGCACAGCATGTGTATATCTGCATCCTAGACAGGTTGTGAGAAAAGGTATTTTAACTGGTCTGCCTGTACTAATGGAACTGATTCGGTACTTCTTGTTCCTTGCATCAAGGTGTTTTCAAGTTATCATTTAGGTAATGATAACTTACAAAGTCTTACAGTGGAGGTAGGTTACCTGCCTCCTCTGTTAAGACTTTGATGCACTGAAGAAAAGCTGCCTTCCTCAAGAACATTACATAACTAACTTTTACTTTGGAACTTGTGCATGAGATGGAAGGACATTTGACCAGATCATTTAGATAAGGTTCAATGCCATCTGTTGATTAATGGTCTTCTGTTTGCACAGCTATTCTGGAGAAGCCTCTGGAGAAGAAATCAGGGCGTAATTTTGGACCCCCTGGTACCAAGAAGCTGATTTACTTCATAGATGATATGAACATGCCAGAAGTTGACAAATACGGCACTGTGGCTCCTCATACCTTGATCCGGCAGCACATGGATCATGGCCATTGGTATAAATACATTTTTTTCCTTGATAATTACTATGGCTGTATGGCTAAAGGATAGACTCAGAGAACCCCATGCAAAAAAAAGCAACTAACCTTCAGGTTGAACCATTTGTGTTTTCTATTATTATTATATTATACAATATTATAATATATTGTAATGTAATGCATTGCAATGTATTAATGTATTATAGAGATGATATCGTTTGAATGCTATGCTATGCATGTTGCAGGCTATCAATATGATGCCTGCATGTTTAAAGATATAGGCCATATTGTCTCCTACTTGTAGATTAAGCTCAATATTTTCATGGATAGATGTGTTATTTAAAACTTCTGCTTTTTTTAAATGAAAAGGCATCAAAGCCCTTAATTCTTTGTTCATTTTGTATAAAAGATAGGAAGATTATCTTAAGTGTAAGGGAATAGTGGAGCATCGCTTTCTCAAAAATATTGGGTCAGTATAATACTCACCAATTTGCTTCTTTCCATTAGGTATGATAGAAACAAACTGACCTTAAAGGATATCCACAACTGTCAGTATGTTGCCTGTATGAACCCAACTTCTGGATCCTTCACTATTGATTCCAGGCTCCAGGTACCTAATAGAGGGAGACGTGGTACTTTGGTGATTTCAGTGAAAAATAAGACCGTCTCCCTTACATTACTGTAGTTGCTTTTTTTAAAAAAATGACTAAACTGTGAGCAGAAAAAGTGGGAGGCCTAAATTTAGAGGGAATTTTTTTTTTAGTTGATGTTGTTAAGAGACCTATCTAGCAGCATTGCAAGATGTTGTAAATTGTGTTTTGTTTGTAGAGGCACTTCTGTGTGTTTGCGGTGAGTTTCCCAGGTCAGGATGCCCTAATGTCCATCTACAGTACTATTTTAGGACAGCACTTGGCTGCTCGGAATGTCTCAATCGTCGTCCAGAAGGTTAACCAACAGCTTGTTTCGGCAGCTCTGGGTAAGCACTGCAGAAAAACCAGCATGAACTAAAACAGGTTTTCCCGTTAATGTTCTACCTCTTGGCATCTTATTCATATTTGTAACCTGCATGATGCTGAAGGCTTTCAGATTCAGATCTCTTTGTGCAAAGAATGTTTGGGAAATGGGGGCAATGGTTAGCCAATAGTGTATTTTGCTGGGGGAAAAGGTACAACTGACTGAATCACTGGGATGGAATTTTGCCTGGCATGATTGTCACAGGTACTTCCTGCCTTGGATGCTACCACATCATTATCATTTTTCTTTGGAACTGCCATCTTTTGTTGATTAGGGTTTATTCAACTTCCACTTAGCGTTGTTAAATTATTCTAGTTAGGTGAGTTTTGTAGGTGTTATGAATCCTCTATTGGATTGTAAAACTGACAAGGCTTTGCAAGAGTCCTACACATTTAATTAAACAATCTGGAGATCAACCCATTCCATTGTTTTTTGTTGATCCTGACTGAGGAATTAATCATGAATAACCTGTTTCTTATCCCAAGCAACTCCATTCTTTTTTGGTATGATTATGGCATGTTTCTTCATAACAGGTTTACATCAAAAAATTACATCAACATTTCTTCCTACGGCCATAAAATTTCACTACGTTTTCAATCTCCGGGATCTCTCAAATATATTCCAGGTACAATATCATTTTTGTATTTTGGTATGTATGAATTTTCCAATACCTTGGAATAAAAATGACACCACACAGGTCACTTGTTTGTGAACCATTTCTTTGAAGCTATATTATAATAAATGCTAGAAATTGTGAACTCAGTTTCCTTGAGATATTCAGGGTTTCAGATTTCACAAGCCACAGTCAGCATGGCCAATATGTAGTAAGAGATGGTAAAATTAGTGGATATAAGGAGGAACGAAGCTTCTACCTCTCATATATGTCTTTTGATACAGTCAATTTAATAAAATAAAATTGTCCAAATGAACTAAACCTAGAGAGTTTCCTTTGTCCATGTTAGTATTGTTACAATTGCTAATTTGCCCTATCATATTAAAGAAAATAGCCTTAGAACTAGAGTGCTGTATGAATTCTTGAGGGTAAGACTTTCCACAATTATCACATTCCATTAATCAAAGGACACTTCCACAGCAGAAGTGGTATTCAGCAAGTTCTGACCAGTTCAGGAGAATCGGTAGTGAAAATTTTGAGTAGTTCGGAGAACCTGTAAATACAATTTCTGACTGGCCCCACTCCATCTATTCTCTGCCCCACAAGTCCCAGCTGATCGGGAAGAAATTGAGATTTTACAGAATCGTTCCCCTGCCACACCCACCAAACCATGTCACGCTCACCAAGCCATGCCCACAGAACCGGTAGTAATTTTTAAAAAAAAAAAATCTCATCACTGTTCCACAGGGCTTCTGTCTGAATTAAGATGTTCCTACTCTGGCTTTAAGATTTCTGATATTATCTTGCCTTTTAGAATTTTTTTCTTATTATAGGGTACAACGTTCTTCTTCGTTTATTATGACTGCTCATTGTATGACCAGTATGAATGTATACAACATATTTTTTTCACACTGTTACCCTCCATTTTAACCCTTTATATCCAGAGGGCACTAAGTTGAAAAAGAATAGAATAGAATAGAATAGAATAGAATAGAGGAGTGAATGGAATAGAATGCAATCCAATGCCATGCCATACCATACTATACCATACCATAATGTCCTGATCCAGGAAAAGCTGGTATATATTATGAAATGGCATCATCTAGGATAGATGGCAGTCCATCACCTCTCTTAAATCCAAAATCAACATATAAAAGCCATGGTGAGCAGAAAACCATTTCGAGTTAATTTAGAATTGCTGAAGTTGCTTTTGCCTTTTATAATCATCTGAATATATCTTTCTTAATAATGCATATTTGAATTACTTAGTCATGACCTTCCACATAAATATATTGGAAGATAAACATATCTGCAAATAACCTGAGAAAACATCAACTTCTCTCCCAATTCTTAAAATATTTTTTTGCAAACATGTTCTCTGGTGACTGTTGCATACAAATTTTTGCATATTCTGTATATGAATTAATAAATATGTACTTTGCTAAAATGGATTTACATAGATTAAAATATACTTCCAACAACCTATACAACAGCATCATTAATAACTTTACTTTTACTTTATAGAGATCTGTATATCTTAAGACTCAAACAAGGAATTTATTTATTTTTTATAGTCTTTCTTTGTCTGAGTTCCACTGATGTGGCCTTGCAAACACAACGACCCAAGTTAGATTAGGGGATATAGTACAATATACTACCAAATTAGTTGTTAGTCAAGGGTATGTAGCTTGGAAGCATTATTTATATTAAAAGATCGAGCACAAATCCTCAGGAGAATTGTTTTTCCGAGAAAGTATTATCATGACAGAACATTTTTCACTAGCTCATATGGAGGCTGCAACAATGGATTAGGGTCAAAGGAATAAGAAATTGTGGATCTTTTTGAGGTAATTGGAAATAGACCATGGGAGTGTATTGTCAAGTATTGGTTATGATGCAGCCTTGTCCTTTGTGGGGATAGGTATGAAATCCATCTGCCCATCTACACCCATGTATGTATATACGGTAGTAGGAGCGGGAGAGATAAACAGAGATTCATACTCAGAATATTATTCAACCATTTCCTTTTTTCTTCTTCTTAGCATCTTTACTGTGCTTATTATCATGCTTACAAGGCTCATTGTGTCAACTTCAGCCTGACCATTTTAGAGCAGAGTGACCACAACCCCTCATTTCTTAAGACCTTGGAAAATGTCAGAAATTTCACCCAAAAGAGATGCCTGCAATTTCAGCAACAATGCTTAATTCCGCCTCAGTCAAAGAATACATAGATTTGAAGTCTGCAGGTGTCTCCTTTATTCCAGTTTAGCTCATATAGGACTTTAAATGTCACCGAAACAGAACATCCTGCTCCTGGCTTCCTCAGATCTTTTCTGTCATGCCCTTTGAGAATATTGGATACTAATCACCGGGGGTGGGTGGGTAATATAACGGTGGCCTTGGAAAGGAATGAAATATTGTTATAGAGGTGGACTGCACTGAAGATCCTCTCAGAAAACAATGGCAGAGGTCCTGCCTTAGTAACATACTAAGGAGAAAGCAACCTTGATCCTTTTGTCTCTGCCAGGGACTCCTGTTTTCCACTCATGAATGCCTCAAAATACCATCAGACCTGGTCCGGCTGTGGCTGCATGAAGCAGAGAGGGTTTACTATGACAAACTTGTGGAAGATAAAGATCAAGAGACCTATACCCGGGTCATGACAGCAAATTGCAAGAAATTCTTTGAGGTGAAGGAACTGTTGATGCTACTTCTCTACCTCCACCTTTTTCTCTTCCTCCAGCTGAGATTCAAAAGTGACTTTGAACTCAACCACAATGTACTTTTCCAATACCAGTAGTTAAACGTTAATTACTTTGATATAGGAATATGCTTGCTTTAAAAGACCATATGCAGGTATTCAGAGGCTTCGTTAAATTAGGAAGAAATGTTGTGTCTAGGTCAGGGGTGAAATCCGCCCAGTTTGGCCCAGTTCAACTGAACCGGTAGGGACAATTGTCGTTGGTTCTGCTAACCAATAGTAAAAAAAAAAAAGCTTCCGAAGATCGCATGACTCACCTGTGAGCCACGCAATCGTCGGAAGCTTTCCCCCTGCTTTTTAAAGCAATTTGTTTCCTGCCTATTCGCCCGAACCGGCAGGAAAAAAAATGCTTTAAAAAGTGAAAAAAAGTTGGCCACACCCATCCAGTCACATGACCCCTCCCCATCAAGCCACGCCCCCAGAACCAGTGGCAAAAAATTAGATTTCACCACTGGTCTAGGTTGAACAATGAGCCCAGCTCTCAGGTGCTAACTTTTTAAAATTTATCTTGTGTCAAAATAACTCTCCAGACTTTACTTGCAGGCTAGCCCTAGATAATTAATCCCAAACGTTGTCTTAGATGTTTCAAATAAATCCAAGATTAAAAAGCAGCTGATGAGTGGATAAAAAGTAGCTTCGGGTTGATGCATTGTTTTGTTTTGTTTTGTTTTGCAGGATCTGGGTGAAAATATTATCTTTGCAAAGCCCAACATTTTTTGCCACTTTGCTCAAGGCATTGGAGATCCAAAGTACTTTCCTGTTTCCAATATACAGAGTTTGAATAAATTGCTTGTGGAAGCCTTAGATAGCTACAATGAGGTCAATGCAGTGATGAATTTGGTAAGTGAAACTGGAGTTGGGCCAGAGAGAGAATGCTGCTGCTGAGCACATGAAGCAGCGCTAAACTAACGGATGCCTGTGCTACAATTTCCATAATACAAAGTCATTAGCAATAGCAACAGCACTTATACTGCTGTATCTGAACAGTTTATAATGTCAGCATATTTAGCCTTTGACAATCTGGGTCGTCATTTGACCGACTTTGAAAGAATGCCAATCTCAAGCCCCATCAGGATTGAACTCCTGACTGGGGACAGAATTTGCCTGCAATACTGGATTCTAACCACTGCATCACCACAGCTCATTAACTACAGTATGGTGGCTTAGAGGTTTAGCAGTTCTAGCCCAAAATGTAAACATTTGGAGGAGAAAAAGTTGCTTCTTTCTAGTAAAGGCATTGTTTTTATTTAGGTTAGTCTTCCCTATTGATTTTATTTCCTGCTTCTTTGAGCTGGAACAAGCTCTTGCATCACTTGGCTATAACACAGCAATCCTTAAACCATAGAAAGGTGCTTCTGGTCGTAGCATTCACCGATGGTGGAAAGAATTATGTTAAACATAATAGGCTCTATCACATTACCCAAACACCCTTATGCGCGAACCAAGTAGAGTTTTCTTTTTGTTGTTACTCTTTACCATATTTCCTTCTTTTCTTTCCCCCATTACAGTAATCTCATACTTAGTGAATTTTGAGGCAGGTTTGAATAATTCTGTAATTTTACAGGCACTGCTAAATTTTTGGGGCTCCTGGTCTTTAAAAAGATGGAATGGGGAGGGGGAATCATGATTCCTTGGGATCCTGCCAAATATCCATAGTTTTAAAAGGTTGAGGGTAATGAGAATGAAGTTAGAGTTTGGAGTTGATGAATAATTAATAGGCACAACCATAAATTAGATGATGGAAATTGGAGGATGGGTCAGTGGCCAAGATAAAAATGTTGTATGGACTGTTTTTATTCCCAGAATCCAGAAGCATCAATTAGAATATGGTTCAGATTAGGATGAGAATAAGGCATGAGTAAACCTGATGCTGCAACTAAGATATAGTGGTGTGCCCCAGCCCCCTGCCCCAAAAGGCTACTATTGGCTGGGAAGGATGAAACAAAGTAGATGGAACCAGTGGTGGGATTCAAATTTTTTTTACTACTGGTTCTGTGGGCATGGCTTGGTGGGCATGGCAGGGGAAGGTTACTGCAAAATCCTCGTTCCCTCCTGATCAGCAGGGACTCGGGAGGCAGATAATAGTTGGGGGTGGGGCCAGTCAGGGGTGGTCTTTATTGTTTCTCCAAACTATCAAAATGTCCACTACCGGTTCTCCAGAACTGGTCAGAACCTTCTGAATACCACCTCTGGATGGAACTCAGCTGAGTCGCCATGTTTTGTTTTGCTTTGCTTTGCTTTCCTTGTTGGGGGTAGAGTCGGGTGTTAAATGATTTTCCCTGTCTTGAGGATTATACAGTCCTACATCTTTTGCTTTGTTCACTGTTTAAAATGCCATTCAGCTTTGAATGGAGAGGTAGAATCTAATGTTATTGTTTTGGTTGTTTCAATGTTGTTGGGTCAAAACTAGGATCGGGCCTTCTTGTCTACTGCAGGTGCTGTTTGAAGATGCTGTGTCGCATGTCTGTAGAATCAATCGCATCCTAGAGTCTCCCAGAGGCAATGCTTTGCTTGTGGGGGTTGGAGGCAGTGGCAAGCAAAGTCTGTCTCGACTGGCTGCCTATATTAGCGCCCTGGATGTCTTTCAGATCACTTTGAAGAAGGGTTATGGCATTCCAGATCTCAAGGTGAGGACAATTTGTCCAGGTATATATTAGCAAACTTCAAAAAAATGGTATGAAGAGGCCTAAAATGAAAGATAAATGCTGGGTCCAGCTACCTGACAAGTTATACATTGTAATCAAACCAACATTTCTGAGTTTATCATTGTTAGTGTGCTGCGATGCCATGTGTTATAGACATACTGTCAGGGTTCCAAATAGCATCCAAAAGTAAATTCGAATCCAAGGCAAAGTATTGCTCAAAGTTCCAATTTATTAAGAGAGTCATGTTGGCACATCTGGGAAAACCCAAATTTGAACGCTTCCTGGTTTTCCCCACCCAGTTGAAAGTCCATGATCTTGCCCCCACACCCACAAGTCCATCACATGGTCCAAACTTCCACTGCCATGCTGGCAGTTCCACTCATCCAGGTCCGGTAAGGTGCATAGGTGCGAAGACAAAGGATGACCTTGGCTTTCTAGAAAGAATTTTGTTATGGCTACATAGCATCTAACTCCTAAAATCCCCCCTCCCATTTCCCCACAATAGAAAATGCATAGTAGAATAATAGAAAGTGTGGCAGGTCAAAGATCCAAAAGAAAAGATGGCTGCAGGCCTGCCATGCATGCTTCTAAAGACAGAAACTTGAGATCTTTCTACCTAGGATGGACAGTAGGGAGCTACAGGAAAAACAGGAATATAAAACAAGAAGCATCAAGGAATATAAAAGAGGAATTAGTTCTACTTAGGTTGTTGAGAAGATTGAGATAAGGCCTTCAGAGGTTTAGACAGGGATAGCTATCTTTTTTTTTTTTATGGCCGGGAGCATGGCAGGGACATGTGGACATCACCAAAAGGGTGGATCCAGAAATGATTATTTTCTTTTTTTAAAGACAGGGAATGATGTGTTCTGGCTAGAGGAACCTTAATATCAATTCATATTGTGGAATTTCCCAGACTTACACCTGCATTGCCTAATGTCCTCATTTTGATATCGGCACAGGGGACTGTGCATGAGGCTGAGAAAACAGGATTAGAGAATTGCATGGGGAATGAGCTATGCAGGTTATATATCCTTGCCATAAACAAGAAGCTGGTTGGGATGTGACAGGAGATTGTTTTCATGCATATCATCCTAACCCTTCCTATACTACAATGGGCCCTACAATGTGTTTGTGGAATTAAGCCATTTATGCATTTTATATGCTAATTTATTTTGGATTTTGGCCTCAAACATTGTATTTTGGTCCTGATCTGTGTACAGAGATAATACTTTGGAATAGCCTGTCCAAACCTGGTGCCTTCTCGATGTCTCAGGAATAAAATTTCCAAGCTTCCCAGTCATCATTTTCTTTTCCATGCTGAAAGTGCTGAAAGATGTACTCTCAACATATTTGGAGAGCCCTGGGTCAGGAAAGGCTGCATTGTGCTTTCCTGCCTGATAAGTACAAGAGTGACACCAAGGGTGGGTTACTGCTGGTGTTACTGCCGGTTCACAACTCACGTGCAACGTGTGCGCATACCAGACGCCCGCAGCGCTTGCATGCGCTGTTCAATGTAAATTGTTCTGCGTGCATGCACAGAACAATTTAAAATCCAAAATGGCAGTGCTCAAGTGGCATTTGGGGAGGTGGCAGGCATAGATCGCTGCCGGTTCTGGCGACCCAAACCTGAATTCCACTACCAGTTCGGCTGAACCTGGACGAACCGGTAGAAATCCACTTCTGGGTGACACCTCAGGACCATTGGGGAACATGCTGGTTGCTTTTACATAATGATGCTTTCAACATCATTAACCAGCTTTCATAATACTATGGGAAAGTTTTCTACATGAAATTCGGCATTTTTTTTTTAAATTGTTCACTCTTGAAACGAAATAGGAAGGATGCTAAACTGACAAGTATTTGTTCTGTGATTCAGGCTGATCTGGCTTCCCAGTACATCAAATCTGCTGTGAAGAATACCCCTACCGTTTTCCTTATGACAGACTCACAGGTTGCTGAAGAGCAGTTTTTGGTTTTGATCAATGATCTCTTGGCATCTGGTGAGATTCCAGGGCTATTTCAGGATGATGAAGTGGAAAATATTATTAGCTCCATGAGGCCTCAGGTAAAATCTATGGGCTTGCCGGACACTCGTGAAAACGCCTGGAAATTTTTCATTGACAAAGTCCGAAAACAATTAAAGGTAAGAAGTTGGAAGAGTTCAAATTCTATTCGGCCACAAATTGTTTTGGCTAACCAATTGCCAGGTTCAACATACTAGCTTACACAATCATGGTTTGTGTAAGTGGTTTTTTGGTTTGTGCAAAGTATTATGAAATGAAGGCACTGGGGTTTGTAAACCACGGTTTATGGGTTAACAATGAGCAAATATTGCCCTCATTCACAGCCTAACCTACCTCACAAGATTTTTGTGAAGATTAAATTGAAACAGATGGAAGATGCACTCTACATTGTGCCCTTAAAGGAAATGTCAAATGTGTGCATAACTAATAATATCTAAATTAATATTCTTTATTATTGCATGACTGATGGAAGGAGAGGACATTTAATCTTTTGAGTGGGGCTGTTAATGTAAAAAAAAAATAGTAACTGGTTTTGTGTCATGTGGCAATATGAAAATGCTTTAGCCAACCTTTGTGTATTGTACAAATGAAGGTAGGAATATCTACAGTATCCACTCTAATAGGGAGAGCATTTTTCAGATGTAAATTTGATATACAGAGATTTACAGGGACTCCCCAATAATATTTGAGTAGTAAAAGCTCTTAAGTAATTAATAGTAGTGATTATGCCCATTGATGAGTCTTCACTCCCTCCTCAGGTAATCCTATGTTTCTCTCCTGTGGGATCTACTCTCCGTGTGAGGGCCAGAAAATTCCCTGCTGTAGTAAACTGCACAGCTATTGACTGGTTTCACGAATGGCCTGAAGATGCCTTAGTGTCTGTCAGTGGAAGGTTTCTTGAGGAGATTGAAGGGATTGAGGTATGCATCCATTTTTCAAAAAAGTAAACACTGTGTTCTCCCAATATCTCTTGGCACTAAATAGAACCTTTTTTTGGGGGGGGGGGCAATGTTCCATTATGGTTTTGTTTTTTTCCTGCCTACAACTTTTATTCTTTGATTTCTT